GAGATGATCGAATCTAGACTGGGCAAAATAGTGGTAAATATACTTTAAAGAATAACTTCTTATTTGCAGAATGACAGAAAAGCTAGGTAGTCTAGTTGTTAACCTTGTAGGGTGCATCTACATGTGCTATTAATGCAATGCAATAAACTCCAGTGCAGTCTGTGCCAGAGTTAATGACTCACAGGCGCAGTGTCTACATGTACACCTGAGACAACAGCAGTTTGAACTGGGGCGGAGGAGACCCAGGGTTGACAGCAGCAGTACCGTACCTCAACTCCTAGAGGCCCTGAGCAAACTTTTAGTATCAGGCCCCCCTTCACCAGAGATAATGATAATAATAATCAGACAATGGAAAAAAATTACCATTTTCAGGCCCCCTTTCTGTCTGGGTCCCGGGCGGCCACCCGGCTCGCCCATGCCTGTGTCTGGCTCTGTCACAGCTCTGGGACCCAAGTCACAGTGTCAGGAAACATCGGGGCTGCCCAGGGCATGAGAGTACCCAAAGAGCGGGGCCGTATGGCTAGGCAGCAGGAAGGGGTCTGGCCCCCTGCTGATTGGGCTAACTGGGCACAATTTACACCCAGGTCAGTGTTTACACGTGTGGTTATGTGCAGTTATTTTCACCGCCATAAGATAATACTGTCCCCAATGGTACTCTCTTACAGTGTTGAAAATTAGTTTGCTGCAGCCTAATAGCATCTCACGTGTAGACTGTGATGCTTTACACCAAAGCAAATTAGTCTACTGTGCACTTAAACGCACATTTAGATGCTCCCCTTGATCAGCTCTGCTGTTGTCTGTCATGGGATAAAAGGGAGCACAAGGTCTCTTGTTACCTGGGAATTTCCTTACAGAAGGAACAGGTACAGAAAACCCAAATGACTTCATGCCAGCCCAGTGGCTGCAAAGGCATGTCTTTACTGAATATTGCCATGCAGTGTGGAGATAAGTAGCTGGGGCCTTGAAAACAGTCTAGATGCAGTGGTACAGAGCACAGCATGGGCTGAGATCAGCCTGCGGTGAGCAGTGTGGACATAACCAATGGCTGTGACTAAAGAAAAGGAAGCAGATCCAGAGCATCGCTGATGTTTAGCAATCTCTTCCTGCCAGAACGGCCTCTGGGGACCAAGGGAAAATGGGCATAACTTTACAGGATCCTTGAGTCTACTCCAAATTAGAAGATATACTAGCCATGGGACTAAGGATTTGCAAAGGTGGCATAAAGTCTTTTATTCTTTTACATGAAACTATATTCATTTTCCCCTGCTCCTGTTGCTCACTGTGCATCAAAATTCACTATCTTGCCATGGGTGAATGGCCAAGTCTGGTGTCACAGAAGAGTGCAACCTTCTCAAGGGTCTGATGACTGACTTGACTTTCAAAATGTTGGTTGCAAGCACAGCACTGCCACCTTGTGGCTCTTGGACCAATCTGGGCAGCTCTCTAAACAAACCTTTAGTTTTTACAAGTTCTGACTCACACTAACGTCCCATTAATTTATAGTGCACTGATTGCTGCAACGTAGAGTATCTTTTACAAGGTCTGAAATCGAGCCAGCACTGTTCTAATATTGTTCTTCAGGGATATCAATTTGGCATGTGTCCTTTTTCATCTTGTCATCTCTGGTAGAGGATGAATGGAAGTGAAGAATTATGCATCCAATTGAACTGAGGGTATAAGCAGAGCTCTTTTCATTAAAGGTGGTAGAAAGAGATCAGTTGAATTAGAACATGTTAACATGCTTGCAAATAAATCATTATGGGATTTCCAGTAGTCACAAGTATTCAGAATATGGGTTTTAGGCTTGCTAAGGATTTCATAATGAATTTACATGGCTGCAATGAACAGCCTCCTCTCCTAAGAATTATCTATACAGAAAAAAAGTAAGAGCATGTTTTGGAAATCGCCTTCTATATCCTCTTTCCTGAACAGCTGGGATCAGGTATGTTAAAGGAAGTGCAGAGATGTTATGCCCAAGTCTATAACAAGGACTCCTATAGTCAATTCCTGCTTCAAGCTGAGTCAGTTAACAGAGATTCTTTCTAAAAAGGGGTAATATTTATGTTTAAAACAAGCCCTGTATATGTTCAATGAGTGCACCTATTCCTTTGTATGTCACCTACCCGCTCCCCTGGAAACAAAATGCAACTTCTTATGTAATAAGCGGCAATAACGCCGTGAGAGTATCCATGCACTCATTCACTACCTAGACTTCAAGTTCTGTGAATTCAATTCTCCCATCTGGAGGAAAAATATGTCACAGTAAAGAGTCTAGTGCCAGCAGTGAGCTTTAAACTCCATGAGCTGCTAGAAACTTTACTGAATACTCGATCTTGAGGACTTTGTAGTTCTAATAGGAGAGGTTGCTAAATATTTTTATTTCTTGTTAAATGTTTAAAAAAAAAGAAAAAGAACTGTCTGCCTTAAATATTATAATAGATTTGCCCTTACATTTGTGTTTGGGAAAAATAAAAAGGTGATATAGCTGGTTTCTGTAGAAGGACCTAATCAAACTGTTATTGAACATTACATGGGAAAACTGCTAATTAACCATTTCACTCTCTAATGCCTATTCATAGAATGGGGAAACTCCTAGCTTCCAAAAGAAGTGGCTTGTTTTCCCTCTCAGGTCTCATAATCAGTACTGAAGCCCGAGTACAAACAAGGAACTGAACAAAACCAGGCCAGTCTAAGCAGCAATGCTTGAAAAAACATCAATGACCCCGACTTAATAATGGAAGAAATAAGTGGGAGCTCTGCTGATGGTTACTGTCCCTGCAGTAGAAAAGCACCATTCCTGGTTTGAAACTGGGAAGTTGTAATGAGCCGTTTTGCATCTCTCGGTTTACTCAGGTAATAACGTTCTCATAAATCTTTGAGATCGCAGATCCAAGGAACATCCCGCCCCTCTCGGCACTGTCCTCCTGACCTTGCTTTTGTCTCCCTGCACATTTATAGCTTTTATTTTGCAGTCAGCAAACTGGCAGAGTAAGCATCACTTGGCCCGTGTGTAAACAGCTGCTTAACCCTTTGGCTGTGCTTCCTCAAAACATCTAAAGCAGTAGTTCTTAACCAATTTTAGACTTGAGGCATCTCTCAATTGGCTCGAGGGCCCCCCTTGGAAAATACCAGCTCTTCATTTTCCCTCCATTTTTTTTTTTTTTTTACTACAGAAAAATAATAACGCAATCCTTTTGTTGCCAAGAGCTCAGAAAGCCCACAGCAGGGCATGTGTTTAACACTATGGGTTCCTACCTGAAATCTCTGGGTGAATCATATGTGCCCATCTAACAGTGCAGCACACTTGAAAGGATCTCAAAGCACCCCAGGGTGCAACAACACCCTGGCTCATAGAAATCAGGAAAGCAGGGCTGGAAGGGAGAGGTCATCTAGTCCCACCCCCTGCCTGAGGCAGCATCATCCTTCTCCAAGCCATCCTCTACGAATTCATCATCTAAACGCTTTGTAAAACTACTGTCAACACCAGACACAACGCCCTAACCCGCCACAGGTAAACCAGGGGGATCGCGTACGGCAGCCGACGTCCTGCTTCTAGAAAAGCTTGTTACTATCCACCCGAGGGATGCCAGGCGGAAGAGGAAACCAACCCCCCCAGTCCGTACCAGTCTGACCATGGGGTGCAATTCGTTTCTGACTCTAAATACGGCATCATCCGACTGTGAGCGCAGGGGAAAGACCCTCTAGCCGGGAACCTCCGGCTTTGGTCCCGGCCCAGTCCCTGTCCCCGTCCCCGTCCCCAGCCTGGGCTGCAGCTGACACCCCCGAGGGAGGCTTACACTCCCCTGACACGCAGCAGAAAGAGGGGACGGGGGCAACCAGCAAGGCCCCAAAACCTGGGAAATCCCCATAGCAGAACACAGCAATTATATGGTGTGTTGGTGTGTTAGGGGTGCAGCCCCCCAGGGCAATTATATGGTGTGTTACAGGTACAGCCCCTCAGGGCAATTATATGGTGTGTTAGGGGTGCAGCCCCCCAGGGCAATTATATGGTGTGTTACAGGTACAGCCCCTCAGGGCAATTATATGGTGTGTTAGGGGTGCAGCCCCCCAGGGCAATTATATGGTGTGTTACAGGTACAGCCCCTCAGGGCAATTATAGGGTGTGTGAGGGGTGCAGCCCCCCAGGGCAATTATATGGTGTGTTACAGGTACAGCCCCTCAGGGCAATTATATGGTGTGTTAGGGGTGCAGCCCCCCAGGGCAATTATATGGTGTGTTACAGGTACAGCCCCTCAGGGCAATTATATGGTGTTTTTTGGGGGGGAAAGCAGCCCCTAAGGGCAATTATATGGTGTTTTTTGGGGGGGAAGCAGCCCCTCAGGGCAATTATATGGTGTATTGCGGGGGGTGCAACCCCTCAGGGCAATTATATGGTGTTTTTTGGGGGGGGATGCAGCCCCTCGGGGCAATTATATGGTGTATTGCGGGGGGTGCAACCCCTCAGGGCAATTACATGGGGTTTTTTGGAGGGGATGCAGCCCCTCAGGGCAATTATATGGTGATTTTGGGGAGATGCAGCCCCACAGGGCAATGATATGGTGTGTTGGGGGGGGTGCAGATCCTCAGGGCAATTATATGATGATTTTTGGGAGATGCAGCCCCACAGGGCAATTATATGGTGATTTTTGGGAGATGCAGCCCCTCAGAGCAATTATGTAGTGTTTTGGGGGGAGGAAAGTCCCCCAGCTTAGCCCCCTCCCATGGAGACTCCCCACCGCATCCCAGCACTACAGGGCTCATGACTCACAGGCAGGGAGCAGTGCGCACGCGCGCGGCCTCGAAAGGGGCAGCACCCACCTTCATGATAACGCAAACAAAACGCGCCCGCTCCACACCACGCCCCCGCTCCGTACAGCCCCGCCCTTCGTTAACGTCATCACGCACCTCCCAGCCGCACCGCCCAGCTGTACACTCGGCTCCCCTTCCTAGTGGCGGCGGCGGCCTT